CACAATCGATAACCTTCGAAATCTAACGTTGCGATATAATTTCGAAGGTTTTCGAATTAATATAATTACTGATGTTAATGAAACCAGAAAAAGAAACATGTATATATTAAATCTTCTAAACTTCATAAAGGTCTTATGGAATTTGATAAGATCGATTATCTTATAATGTTACTGTATAATATTTACTTAGTAGAAGAATAACTAACTGTAATTGGTTTTCACAAATTTATCATATCAAAAAAATCGTTAATTATATATCTCATAATACTGAATTACTACCTGATTGAATTTTCAAGAATTAATAAAATCGTTCAATAGATTAACAAATTTTTAGTTCTTTTTTATATGTACAATATTCTTCTATAGTTTGATTATATATCTATTCATTAGGAAATTTTTCTAAAAGTCTTTTCATATATATAAGTTTCTGTTCATCTAATTGTTTCTTATACTAATAAATTCTTTATCTCTCGATTTTCTATAATAAATTCCTGCTCCTAAAATATCTATTATAGCTTTTTCGATATCTTTTCATGTTGGCTGAGTTGATTTTATTGTATTGAAGATGACATTTGAATAATTGTTATATTTTTGATTAGTTTATATATTAATGCTATAAAATCTTTTTTTAATTAAACATTTTCTACACTTTAGTATACAAAAAAAATGATTATGAATACTTTATCATACTCTAATAAAGTTTGTGGAAAACCTTGTATGTGATCTGAAGGAGATGGAAATCTAAAAGATATGTTCTATGTAGTGATTTGAATTAAAATGTTTAGGATGTTTAGACATCAGGCTGAACTAAAAGATGAAATGTAGAAGGACTTTTTACTATAGGCAAAACTTTTATTTATTTCTTAGGTTTAGGATTACTACCCTGGGTGGTTATTGTAGCAATTGGATTAATAAAATTAAAAGATAGAAAAATATGTGCAGGTTTAGGATGGTGTTACTAGTTGACCTTTTGGGCTAATTCCGTTTTTCAAAAGAAGGTTTACAACTAGCAATTTGTAAACAAGAAAAAATGTGTTTACAAATTTATAAGAATAAATTAAATAAAATTAATAGATTAACTATAAAAACTAATAGAAAGGATTTAGGATTTATGAAGACAGTTATTAAACTATAATAAAATTTACTATTAAATTCAGGTAAACAATTTAAGAGATTAGGACTAAAAGATTCAAGATATTTATCAAGGATTCAAAGAGTGATAACAAGAGTTTATTAATAGAATTTATATTCTTCAAATATAAATTAATAAGAAAATAACAGAGTTTAAGTAAAAAGGTATAAGTTTATTATGAAATAAATCAATAATCCTATCAATTTAGATTTGTCAAAAATAGTAATTCAATAATAGAATTAATTACAAATTTAATATGGTGAGATTATTATCTAAACTACAATTTTTAGATCTATCAAAATAAATGTAATACTAATAAAATATGAATAATAGATAACTAATAATATAAATATAATACTAATTAATAATTAATAAACTAATAATAAAAAATATTAGTAAGAGAAAATTTCAGATAATAATGGTTTAGCTCAAATTATTAGTTCTATGTATAGATTGTGATAAACCAACTGGCTCAACTTTTGGTTAATATCATTTACATATTAAAGGATATTACATACTTTTCTATCACAGATTGCAAGTTAAGTCAATTACAAACAAAAATACAATATAAAATATATTGCTACCTTTTGATCTTATAACTAAAAATTACTACTCCCTAAAAAAAATTACAACATCTATAAAATTTAATATTTTTTAGTTCTATAATATAACTATGAAATGAATTTTTAATGGTAAGTAGATATACAAAAAGTTTATATTTATATTTTTTTAAAAAATCAATAAAATATTAATAAGCTTGCATCAATTATGAAAAAAAAAGATTTGACATAAAAATGTGAAAATAAATATGAAGTTCACATCTAAGTTTGATCTATAAAGTGAATTGTTCGCATCTAAGTTTGATCTAAAAAGTGAATTAAAATTCGTTGGAATTAATTATAACTATGAAGAATTTCTTTGATAACAAAAAAGATCATCATAAATAAATATAAAAATTGATAAAAAGGTCAATAACCATATAGCTAAAATATAATAAAAAGAAAAAAAAAAGACCAAACAGCTATATATATAAAATCAATATCATTCTTGAGCTTCTGAACTATAAAATAATAAAAATAAAATGCAAAAAATAAATATTATTACAGATAACAGTACAGGTCAAAATATTTACTTGTCACCTATTTGGAAGAATATTGATTAATATTATGCAGAAGATTGGAGGCACCTAATATGTGTGAAAAATATTTTACTCATATTCTGGATACCTGATATGTGCAGATTTTTTGCAGAAATATACAACTTGGGTATAGAGTAGTCAGTGTAATAAATATTGAGGTAGTATTTCATTACAAACACACCAGATTACAGGATTGTTGATATATTCATGATCCTGATTCAAATGATATAAGTTACTTTTCTTGAAGGAATTTTTTTTTTCTTAGATTTCAGATACTTCAGAATGGAATTTTCTGATTTTGTCTAATTCTCAGTTCTTATATATTCCAAGTTATCAGCTGAAAGTCAAAAATTTAAAAATTTTTTCTTCCAAAAGGCTATATAATCACAAGTCATAAAGTTATGTTATAAGAACATTTTGATACAGATGTTGTATTTCACAGAATTAAGGCATTTAGGAAGGAGATGTATGAAATTGAGCAAGTTTTGCAGAACAAAAAGTAAAAACATTACGTAAATGTTCTACAAATAATTTTTCAGATCTTCTACAGTGCATAATATATGACTTAATTATTAGCATTTACGTAAGTAATAATGAAAGTTCGAAAACTTCCTTTTGCATATCATCACTTGGACCAGGCATTTTTTTATTAATCTATAAATTATTTATCAATATAAATATCATTTTGCTCGTAATTTTTGAGATTTGCAAAAATATTACAGAAAGTAAATTATATATAATAATATTATATTTATACAAATCTCCGAAGTGATATTTTGAATAAGTAAATTTTTTGAAATATTGCATTATATTAAAATCATTGATAAACCTAAAATGGACCAGGATGTGCAGGAGTATTCGGAGGAATTGTAAAAAGAGGGCACTCATTGACATCCCGAATTTGCAGAGAATAATACTCAGTGAAAAGATATTTTTGGTTTATCTAGAACTGACAAAATTACCTTGTATTTATCACAATTACAATTTCGTGCAAATAATAATTTGTTTTTTTCTAATAATTTTTATGATGCTATGTTACAATTTATAATCATATATAACACCAATATTCATTATGACTCAAAAAAAAGTCATAAGTCATGAATTTCGTGTCTCTAAACTAACAGATTGATAATAATAACAATATTATCAATGTAAATTGAAAGGAGAACAATATTATGTCGCCTTTATCTCATCTTTTATGATTACAATAATAATATAAATTCATCGATAATTTTTTTTTTTGATATTTCTATATGACGTGTTACACAAAATCGAGCACAGACAGTGACACAAGGGACCTTCCCACAATATCCCCGCAAAACATTTCGTTGTCGTTGTTATTATTGTTATTGTTCTGATACAAAGCAAGTTCTTTGAAAAGAGTTTTTAATTATAAATAAAAATATTATCTGTTATGAAAACATTATCTGTTATGATTATTATAATGAAATTGTTTGTTTTCGTTGTTGTTATTGTCATCATTTTTTAGCAGACTTTTATCCATGACTGTATATAGAAAATTCTTAAAGTATCAAGCAATTTCTTTGTTTTTGGGTGATATATATTCTTTATCTCGATATTTATATTTATTTATTTATTTATTTATTTATTTATTTAGGCGTACAAAAAAAAAAATAAAAAAAGTTTGTATTGCATACAAAAATACAAGATTCCATTTCGGACAATTCTTAAATCCGATAAAATAAAATTATCTCTAACATACCTAATACGGAATATATTGTATATATATATGATAAATAAAATATATAGACACAATAGTGAATAATAGAAGACTAGGGATTGGATAATAGAATTACAAAGAATCTAAGGACATTGTTTACATATAAATTTTAATCTAATGATCTCTTTTTCTTTTCTTTTAATAGTTAGATTGAAAAAATTTTTTGATTTGGAAATTTATTGTTTTACCCCATGACCAATCAATAAATAGTTAAGTTATTATCCAATCAATACAAACATGTACGAATCATTGATCATCTACTTTGGTTAAAGAATAACCTTAATTAGGTGATATTATTTGTTGATTTCGTAAAATGTAAGTTGATGCTGTGTTACTAATAATTACCATTCTATTACATAAATATTTTCTTTAACTGTTAATCTAAGCCAATATTATTAAATATTATATATATATATTATTACGTATATTTTTTACAGTACTTTTTATTTTAACAGCTAAGCCTTTTTTTTCGATAAAAGAATTATAAGTAAAAAAGATTAACAAGTTATTTTTTTTTGAATCAAAAAAAAAAAAAAACTTTTTTTTTAAAAAAAATACTTTTTTCTTCCTTATTGTTCTGTAATTTTTTTATTAATAATATATATTTTTTTTTAATTTTAATATTATTTTTGTTAATATTATTTTGTTAGTATAGTTTGTATAGTTAAAAAATATTTGTTGAATATCCATAATTTCCATGGTGGTCAAAAAAAAAAGTGTTAATGTACCTTATCCCTTGACATATGATTGCTTCGAAGAAATTTTAAAACATTTAATTGGTGATCCCGGAACTCTCTTTTATTGTCTTTTAGTTAATCGACATTGGTGTAGAGTTGCCGTTCCTTTGTTATGGAGTCGTCCTTTTGAATATCATGGTTTTGGTGAACCCGCAGCTGATATTATTCAAATTTATGTATCTTGTTTACCTGAAGTTGAAAGGCAAAATTTGATTGATGAAGGATTAGAACTTCCACCTCTTCGTTCTCCTCTTTTTGATTATCCAAATTATTTACAAAGTTTCGAATCTGCACATTTTACTGGGGCTGTTATGTTATGGTTATCTACAAAGGTCAAGTCATGGCTTTCATTTATAGAAGGTAGAGAACCTGATTTATATTCAAACACATATCTTGTTCAAAAAGTTATTGGAAATTTATTATTTAGTCGTAGTAAGGGATTAAAAGATTTAGATATTGTTCATTTTGATGAAGATGATGATTCTTTAATTGCTGATATTACCTCATTTAATGATTCTAATAAAACTTTATCAAGACTTGAAAAATTTCAATTTGATTATTCTGGTTGGGCAGAGCAAGATGATAAATCTTCAGAAATAATTTCAAATCTTTTTAATTTTATGTCAAAATGGACTCGTAATATTCAACATATTTATATAAGTATTACAATTATTTCCAATCCTGAATTAGAATTTCCACAAATAGCTCAAAGTTTCGCTCAACTTATTGAATCACAAAGATCATTAAGAGAATTAATTATAATGGGATTTTGGACACCATCCCTTTTTAACGCATTAACAACTCAAGCTAATTCTTTAACATTTTTAAGAATTCATGAATTATATCAAGATCAATTTCTTTTTTTATTAAATATTTTACCAACATTAAAAAATCTTGAGACATTACAATTTTGGGGGTTTTGTGGTGATTATGATGAAAGTATAAAAGTTAATACAAAGAACGGAACAATTACAAATCAAATTAACATCAAACATTTACATTACAAAGCAGAGAAATCACAAATAGATATTTTTAATTATATTGGACCACTTATTCAAATGGCTAGTAGTAATTTAAAGACATTATCATTAGAAAGTGTGACCCCAGAACTTTGTTTACTTATTGGTCAAAGTTGTCCTAACGTTACACATTTATCGTTATCTTTAACAACTTATGAAATACCTGATACAATATTTCATCTTCTTTCTTCCATTACGAATCTTTTACATTTTTCACTTTATATTTATTCATCAGATGTTCCATTCGCTACTACTGAAAGTTTAACAAAATTTTCACTATCGATACCACCTAATTTAGTATATTTTGGATTTCATTTAGCAATAACTCCTTGTGTTTTGGAATATTTTTTAAAACATTGTCAGGCGAAACTTCAAGTGTTAGCTATATATCGATCAGAAATTATTGACGAAAATTTAATAACAGTTATAAAAGATTATAAAAAAGAACGTGATAGTCTTCGAAAATTATTAATCGATCCAGGTGTTAATACCTATGAAGGATCAACAATTTCTAAAGCTTTAATAGAAGCTAATAAATTTATCCCTATTATTGATACAGTTATTGAAAATTCTTATTCTTTTTCAGGGTAAGTTTTTTTTTTTTTTATTAAAATCTTTGGGATTATTAGATTATTCGGATCCCAATGTTTCTCAATTTTTTTACTAACATGAGTTTCTGTTCTCATAAATAGACCAGAATATGAGAGTTTTGTGGATTTATGGAATCAAGATATTATTTTAACTCCAGAACTATAGAGAATGATTTATTGAAGTATGAAAGAACGTTTGAAAAATGAAATGGTCTGTGTTTAAAAGAGAGAGAGATATATAAATATAAATACATATAAATATAACTTTATATTAAAAATTTTATAGAAAATATTATAATTAATTATAGACAAACAGTATATTCTAGTGGAATGCACATAATTTCAATTTACTTAGATTTTATTTTTTTAGAAAGAAAGTATATAAAAACAATTGGATATGTTCAATATAAATATAATTGAAGTTTTAGTTTTATGGACATCAGTAAATATATATATATATATTTGATATTTAATTTGTATTTAATTTGTATTTATTAATATTAATTTATTTGTTTGTTATAAATCCATTCTTTTAGTTATATATATATATACAGTATATATATATTTTTGTTTTTTTATTTTTTTTTTATTTTTTATTTTTTATTTTTTATTTTTTTTTGTAAAAATTTTTTTATCAATAGTTATTTACACATATATAATATCTACGTGTATATATATTTTCATTTCATTTCATAAAATTCTAAAAAATTAAACTTTTTCTATAAATGTAAAAAAATTATTTAAAATAATAACACGTGTATTTATTTTAAGGGTACATATAAATATAATTTCAAAAATAAATAGCATTAAATAAACTAGAAATTTACAAATGATAGACACGTTCCAAGAGCGTACATAATTTTTAACCAAAACGGGTCGATCGTACCAACATTATTTTCATATGCTTTCTCAATCCCAAACTCAATTTCAGTAATTTCAGCAAGAATAATATTTGATCCTATGAGATGGGTTATTGTAGCAAGGCATTGAAACAGACTGAGAATTTTGGGATCTATATTTTGTTTTTTTACAAATAGCAAAAGGAACAGAAAAAACAATGGACTGTATAATAAATAATACATCGAATAACTAACCGCACGTTCCGTATTCCTCACCTCATGAATCAATACTGAAAAACCGACCCAACCACAAAGACCTGTTAAAATTGATAGCAAACCTCCACATGCTCTATAAAATTTTTCACGACTTTCACGATGAGGGATAATTAGTGATCCATTATTATCAATATTATGAATTGGAAGTGATCCATTAATTACATTATTATTATTATTATTATTATTATTATTATGAATTGAAGCAAAACTCTCAGTATACGTTTTGAAAGCCCATGGAGAGATTTGTCCAATAGCTAAAATTATTAATCTCCATTCTTGACGACAAGCGTAACATGTGTAAGCGGTCGGTCCAGCAATAAAAACGAATGCGAAAAATGCGGGGAATAAAGATTGGGATTTATAAGGTTTCCCCCAAAGCCAAACCGAGATCGGTGGAATATTACAGTATAGTAAAAAATTGGCGTAAAACGAAAAAGTCCAAATGATTAACCCAAGTGTTCCAAATGGTAATCCATAAAATTCCTTTATTAATTCTAAACAAATGTTAAAAGGGACTCGAGTTTACTAAACATCACAAGTACGATAGAGAATTTAACTTACCATCATCCATTATTATTTATTATTTATGGGGATGCAGAAAATATTTATCCTTTAACCAAATTAGTTTTAGTCTAAAGAATTTCTCATGAAAAGAAATTTGTCATCTTTTTATTTATTTTTGAATTTTGAGATTTTGGTATTTTCTATATGATTTACCAAAAACGTCTTCCTGCATGATGATTTTCGACACGAATTCATTTATAATTCTTATAGATACTACGGATAATGTAGAAATTTCGCGGACATTATAATAGGTGACGACATCGTGACTTGGCCAAAACAGGAAAAAAAACATTGGGAAGATTTTAATTGTTAATGCAGCGTACATTATTCGGATATATTTGGAGCTTAAATTTTACTATGGTACATATATAATCACAATAAATTCATAAATTCATAAATTCATGTAATTTAGAAGACTATAACTCTTTATTAAAAAAAGAAATCCCAAGCTTTAATTCTATCTGTTTATTTTTTATTTTTATTTTTTTTTATTTTTTATAAAAAAAAAAATTATTTTATAGAGATAAATTTCGGAGTAGCTTTTCAATTCAAATTCAAATTCAAATATGGTATTGATGGTATTGATTAGAATTAGATTATCATCAAAATAATGAGATGAAATAAAATTGAAATTTTTGATTGGTTCTTGCCTATCCAAAATTTCGGAATTAACACGCCATTTTTACTTAACACTTATTTAATATAAATGTCAGGATTTATATCACACCTCTCGATTTTTAAATTTATTTTTTATTTTGGGATTCATAATAAAATTATATAAGCATTGAATGTTTAAAAACTAATTACAAATTGACCCAATATTATTTGTGTTCGCCCTTTCTGCTATAATCCAGTGGACAACCAGTATGACTGATTTTAAATAGCCTATATATTTCAAAAAGTTCTGCTGGTATTCCTTCAAGACATATGCTGGTTGTTTTGCTTCAAACCAAGTATAACAATCTAAGGAAATAATTAGATTAATAAAATAATAAAATTCATCAAAAAATATTATAAATATAATAACACATCTTCATTTCAACTTGTGAAAAAGTTGGTTAATAGGTCTGGAGACTTGTTCACAAGAAGAAAATGAAAAAGTACAACAACACCAAATGTAACAGTAACTGAGAAATCCTGCCAAAATTTACGACATGATTTTTGACTTCAATATAGTTGTCAAAATTTCATATACTGAAATTGGAAACTTATATAAAGTGGCATAATAAAGAAGTGCATATTATATATATTAATGATACTTGATGTAATTTAAAAAAGGAATGGAAAAAGTTGCAATTCAATTAATTCAATTACAATTAATTGTGGAGGCGTGACATGTTTTTAAAAAGTTACTGATTCTATTTTAAAAATTTATTAATATATAAATTAGTGACTTTTTTTTTTCATTTTTGCATTTTTATTTGCATTGTACGAAGAGATATTATACATATTTTGGATGATAACTCTATATTCTTATTTGTAAAGATTGTAAATAATAAAAATAATAAATAATGACGTTACGCTTCTAGAATGACCATTATCCCCATAAGTTGTACAAGTCATGATAATTACTTTTATTTTAATTTTTATTATTAAATTATTGTTTACGTTAATTTTACAATTATTTTAATTATTTTGCATGTTATTACAAAAATACTTTCTAGAAAACAGAAATTAATAATTATTATATTATTTATATTATTTATTATTGCCAGTATTAGAAATTAATAATATTGTTATTATAATGTTAAAAAAATTTCGGTATAGAAACTAAAAAAAAAAAAAAAAAAAAAGAGAAATAAATATAAATTAATATAAAATAAAATAAAATAAATTCAAAATAAATAAAAAATAAACTTACTCAGAAACAGACATGCTCGTTTTGTATCTATGATATATTTCATCTATAAATTGTCTTCTTAATGCAAAACTAAATTTAAGAAAAAGAAATTATCAATAATATATTCAGTTATTTATATATAAATAATATCTATAAATATAATTATATTTATAATTTATAATAACTTACGATTTACTTTGGGTTTCTGTGAAATTTTTACAAGTTTCATGTGCGGATATTGCAGTGTTTCGTACAAGAGATCCAAGCGTATGTCTACTAACAATCATTCCATCTACTAATGGTCCAAATGCCTATTGAATTATTTTAATAATAATTTAGAAAAAAAAATAATAATTTTAATCCAGGAAAAAAAAATTTATTAAAGATAAAAATATAAAAAATCTTTTTTTTTTTTTTACCAAAGGATTTTCCGCCAATTTAGTAGTATCAGCACACCAGCTTACTCTTCCTTTTCCAGAAGCTTTCTTTTCATTATTATTATTATTATTAAAAGCTCCTGTAACAACACCAATGGAACCTTGATAAGTTACAATGGGTGTTATAATTCTAATCCAATATAATCCAGTAGCACTTTGTAAAGGATGAACAAATATGTATACAAATGCTGATTGTCCAATTTTAGAAGGTATACTTTGCATTGAGACTATATCTTCAATCCAAATTATACAAACTAAATCATCTGATGATATATTTTTGAAAATAGTTGATAATAATTCATTATTATTGTTGTTGTTGTTGTTGTTATTATTATTATCATCACCTTCATTAGTATTAGTAGTATTAGTTGGTAAATTAATTAAATATGGAACATTAAAGATAACTTCAACTGTTCTATCTGCAAAATATGATGTTGTTTTACAAATTTTTGAATTAAGTTTTGCTTTAAATCCTGGATGTGATTCTAATAACACCTATTCATTCATTCATTATTATAAATAAATAAATAAAAATTATTAAATTCTTTGTCTTGTCTTTTCTTTGATTAGGAATATTAGGAATTTAATTAAATAAAAAATTAAAATTCCTTTGTTTAAAAAAAAACAAAAATATTTACCGGCCATCCTAAACTGTTCAGGAATTTTTCAAAATCTTCACTAATTGAAGGTGGATTTATAATAGATTCATATTCTTCCATTCCAGATTTTACAAAATAAACTGAAGCACTTAAGCAATCACGTCTAAATTACATCAAAATTTCATCAAATTAATAGATGTTAATATATTTTTAAATTTTTTTTTTTTGAAAAAATTGAAGATTTTATAAATTACTCATTCAAAGAATCTAATCTTTCAAGGTCTTTTACAAGTCTTTCTGATATTTGCAAAGGTATTACTCTATGACGATTTTCTAAAGAAAGTAATCCCATTTGTGACATAAATAATCTAAATACTTGAGGGCTTTAGAATAATCATATAAAGTAAATAGGTAAATATTGTAAATATTCGATATTTATTTATATTTATTTATTACGGAAATACCAAACATTAAAGAATTAATTCATACAAAATACAAACCTTTCGGAATTATTATTAGAGACTGCGGGAACGGCTTTATAACTAATTTAATAAAAGATTTTCAATAAAATTTCAATAAAATTTTCAATAAAATTTTTAATAATTGTAATAATGAAAATCTACCTTTTCTGTCCAAATTTTGATCGATTTTTCTCCATCAATACTTTTTCTTCTGCCTCTTTTTGTCTTTGTGTCAATTTATTAATAGCATTATAAGCCTTCCAACTATCACTTCCTTCTTCAAATATACTATTCATACAAGGTATTTGATTATCATTAAAACTAACTACTTGAGGAATTGTTTGTGGATTACGATCTTTATTATTAATATTATATTGTTGTGAATGTTGTTCATGTGAAAAATGTGGTGGTGTTTCTGTTCGAAGGATTGGGATAGAAGATTTTGGAGATAATAATCTTATTTCATACATTTCTCTATCCATTTCAGGGGATAATGAACGATAATTATTTTTAAAATTATCATCAATTTGAGATTTATAACACATTTGAGATATCCATGAATATTTTCCTGTACAATCACGTAAAACGATAATTACTGATGGACCATCATCAGATGTAGTTGTTGTTGTTCTATTTAATTCATCTTGAAGAAGATGATTTGGTGATAATGATGATGGTGATGATGATGATTGAGATAAATGAATCTTAGGAGCATCAAGATTTTCTGATAAACTTAAGATATCTAAATTTTTATTAGAAGAATCTTGACGATTAATCAAATTTCTATTATTGGGAATTTCAACAAAACTAACAATTATTCTTCCATCAATTAAAAAATGTCTAACTAATTCAGGAAGGGAAGAGATTCTTCCATTATTTAATTTACTAGATTCTACAATCTTTACTTTGGCTAATTCTAAATCATCATTAAATAAAGTTGAAATTCGACTTGGACCAATAGGATCACTCCAAGCAGGAAAATTACCTAAATGATTAATAAATTGTGCCATAGCAATTTCAGCGGCAACTTTAACTGCAAATTCTCCTTTTTTCACGTAACGATTTTGTGTTCCATAATGTGATATATTTTCATTATTATTATTATTATTATTATTATTATTATTAGTGATAGACATTTTATTACCACGTGGTAAAAATAATTTAGTGGGTACAGGATCTTTTTTAGTTTTTTTTTTGTCAACAGGAGAATTAAGTTGAGAATTTTCATCTTCATTATTTGGTGTTGTTGGCATTACAGAAATTCCTTTACTAATTGTTGAAATGACAGCTTCATGACAATCACGATCTCCAATTATCCATTGACCTATAAGAATCCATCGCATCATGCAATCAAATGCCTTTTCAACTAAATGATATGTATTTCCCTATAGAATATAGAGAACATTAGAATAATATATAGATTTTAAATTCGAAAATTAAATTAAAGAAATTAAAAAATCATTTTTTACCAATCCACCACAATTAGAAGAAAGCATTGTATCAATAAACCGCGAGAATGCTAGAACCAATTCTCTAGCACAGTTCTAATAACAAAAAAAAAAAGTACGTTAAATATCATTATTTTTTAATTTTCATGTAATCAATATACCAAATATAATAAATATTAAATACTAAATACTAAATACTAAATATTACTAAATAAAATAATAATAATAATATAAATACCTTGCTATCTCTTTGCACATATTCATACAATCCTACAAAATCTTTTAAAACATCAAATGCACATAAAGTGACATCAGCAGGAAGGTTCATCGTCAAAACCTAAAACAAAATTATGAAATTATTATTATTATTATTTATAAATTTAATAATTTAATAAATTGTAAAGTTAATAATAAATATAATTCAAACCTTTTCTTGAATTGATTTCACTACAAGACCAACCAATCCAGGACAAAAAGCTACATCTTCTACCACATATACATTAATGAGACGAAGTAAATATCGAAGATTATATGATGATTTTTCGGTTTTTAATGATTTAAGTAAAAGTTCCAATATATAAAATTTTAGCTAAATATATTAAATAGTAAATCTATTAAATATATTTTTTTTAAATAATATATAAGTTAATTGTAAAATATTAATATTTAACAATCTTACAGCAGTAAAAGGTTCAGTTGAATTTCCACTTGGTTTATTTTCTCTACTATCCTCTTCTGAATATAAAACTCTTATCTAAAAATATATAAATATTTAATTTATTCAATTTATTCATCATAATTTTTTAAATTTCTATTAAAAATAATAAAAAATTTATTTTTCTTACTTACTAATTCATTAACCACGATTTCATCTGGATCATTACTAGCAACTTTTTCACCATTTTGATGTAAACCAATGTTCCAATTTTCTCTTAAAGATACTTTTTCAAAATGATTCGGTAAACACATAATAGTACTTGCCACTTTAATTGCGGCAAGTCTTAACTCTTCTATTGGTAAATCAGTTTTAAATCCGGGTGCTAACTTTGGTAAAATCATTTTAATACCTACTACAAAATCTGGTACCATCATTCTTATACCCTCCAAATCAATTGCGAAAAGGTTTGAAGTATTCATTAAAATAATTGATAAACAACTATCAGTTCGTAAACCTTCCATAAGTGCAAAATAAAATTGTGTAATATATTTACGAGAAAATTTTTCACGTCTTTGAGGTAAACAAAATATTCTACATAAAATTCCAAATGCTTCAGCTCTTCCTAATTGATAACCTATATCATTACGTTTTAAAGTACAAGCTTGAAATAACCATGTTCCAAACATATGTAATATCGTATTTCCATCAGGTATTATAGCTAAAGATGATTCAATATCTTTTTGAGCTGATTTTTGAATATGATTAATTTGTCCAATAGTTTGAAATGAATCAATAATTCTACCAATTCCTAATATCGCAAATGAAAAATTTGTTGAAGGTAATGAACATGGATTATTAATTAAATAAATCATTCTATGCCAAGCGAAATATACAAAATCTGTTGGTAAATCTAATCCAACATTATATCCTCCTACTGATATATTAACCATATCTGCTCCTTCTTTTGGTCCATATAATAATCTTACAACACGTTGAGTTAATGCTAAAGTTGTAGCATTCCATTGTAATAAAGCTTGTTGACGATGTGACCATTGATTAAAACATTTTTTAAAAATATCCCACATTTCTACTTTACGAATTCTTGACCTTAACCATAATTCAAATAGAACTCTTAATAAATGTTCACATAATTCATCTGCCATTGTAGTAGCATGTCTTTTCTCTGAAAATATTCCTCCTCCTCCTCCTCCTCCTTCTGCTATCATTGTTGCTGTAGGTTCACGTAATAAACAATCCGTTATTCCTAATACAACTTTTAAAAGTACCAACCAAGTATCTTCTGAAAATTGTGGACCTAATGTACGTCCTGCCATTGTTAATACAATTAAAACTCCTTTACATAATTCTATATGTCTTTGTAATGATGTAAAATTAGGTGATGTTTGATTAGCTGATGAGGGAAATCCGGGAGTTGTCGGTGTTGACGTCACAGATACATTGGAATTTTGTACACGTGGTTTAAAAAGTAAAGAATAATGATGAAATATTATCTAAAATAGTTAAAATAATTTAAAAAAATATCAAAATAATTAAAATATTTAAAATCTTTTAAATATTTAAAATATTCAAATATTTATAAAATAATGAATGTTTTTTTTTATTCGTACCTGCCAAAATTCTTGTTCTTCTTGCTTTCCAATTGCATCCCTAATAGCTGCTGGTCGAAAATTTGGTTCAAATAACCATTGTGAGTATAATTCTTTAGAATTTGCTGTTATCGTCATTTCTTCCAATGGTAAATCGAATCCTTGTCCAATAGCTTCCATAACCCATTTAACATGTGTGGTAGATGATAAAAGGTTCGGATCATGTGCTTGAAGCAATGTTTGGGTTATCTCGGATATAAGTGTTTTTCTAACATTTAGAGGAAATTTTGCTAGTACATTGCTTTCTATAAATTATAATTATTATAATCATTATAATTATAATTATAATTATTATTATTGGACAGATATTAATTAGCTATAAAAAAAAGAATATACCAGGATTCGGTTCAAGAAGATTTAAGTGAGAAATCCACTGCAAAAACATTGCTTAAAATGGAATCACAGAAAAATCTTTATCTTTAATAATTCGATGAAATTTTTGATCAAATTATACTAATGGAAATTTTGCGTCATTCATAAATAGAATATGATAATTCTCAAAAGAAAAGAATTCATGGATAAAATCAGCACATTCCGTTGACATTATAAGAAATATCATAATTTATTTATTCCAAAAAAAAAAAAAAAAAATACTTACTTTATTATTAATATATATTTATTATTATTATTAAATAATTGTAAAAAAATGTTGGCAAAACTAAAAAAGTTTTGAAAAATTAAATTTTATTTAATTGGCTGAATCTTGTAGGACAAGTCAATCTTTTCTACAAATTCTACAATTTAAACAATTTAAAAATTGCTTAATCGAGATTCATCATGTGATTATGTGAAATTAAGATATAAATTTTCCGAAATTTAATTCCACAAATTTCTGGATTTATTTCTTTTTAAATCATCTTTTCAAATTAATGGATTATCTTTTTTTTTTTTTTAATAAAATTTTGATCCATGTTAAAAATTTTTGATATTTGCCTCATTACTAATAAAAATCATTGAATTTTAGGTTATATTATTTCATACAATTTTTATATACAGTATCATATCCACTTCTGATAAATATTATAAATATTGAATATTATCCAATTCAGTATAATAATTCCAACAATTCTAATCAAAATGATATTGAATTAACTTGTCAATTTCGTTATTTACATTTGTCCATGTTGAAAAATGTATGAATTTATTTCTAATAGTTTGCAGTTTGGACACCAATCATATCGTTTTCCACGGCTATGACATTTTGCCATTATTCATTTCAAATTGATTTCCATGTTAAAAATAAAAATTTCTTTAAAAATGATGTATTATTAAATTTGTAATTTGTTTGGAGCAAAATATTATTACTTTGTTATTATATCTTTATAAAAACATTTGATGAAAATCAAATGGACTTTTGTAACTAGATCACACCATCATTGAGGATAGATAATCCCCGACTCAAAGAAAAACCTAAACATTTTATATCATAAAAATATATGGCATAACTCAAGATCCAATTACAAAAGAATATGCTATAATTATGCAATATTGTGAAGATGGGAATTGTAAAAATTTTATTAGAAAAAAAGATAAACCATTAATTTGGGAAGAGCACTTAATAATATTCATAAAAATGAATATGTTCATTGTGATATTCATCCTGGTAATATTTTGAAATCTATTACACTTTTAAGTGATCTTGGATTAGCCAATTATGAAGTAAAATCAAATGAAATTTATGGAATAATTCCATACATGGCACCTGAAGTATTACGTGGAAAGCCATTTACACCAGCATCAGATGTTTATAGTTTCGGAATGATCATGTGGGAATTAACATCAAGGAAAGCACCATTTAATAATCGTTCACATGATGCACATTTAATTATAGATATTTGTAAAGGTATTCGTCCAGAGATAGCAAAGGGTACACCAGAAATTTATGTAAATTTAATTAAATTATGTTGGCAAAATGATCCATCTAAAAGACCAACAAGTAGAGAATTATATCATATGATTTTTAAATGGCAATGTAATGTAATTAAAGATTCAGAAATCAAGAAGATCTTCAAAAAGAGATGAAAAATAATAAAGAATCAGAATATCAACACAACATCCTGAAGCATATGATATAAGTAGACAATTGATTAAATATATCAATACTGCAAAATTACTTTCAAGAGATAGTAAAGAAGATGATTTAGCCATAGAATGGCCAGGTAAATATATATTAATAATAATTATTAAAGACGAAGATAAATTAAATTTAAAAATTAATTAATTTCTTATAGTTTCAGATTTAGTGAAATCATGAAATTGATGAAGAATAAAGTAGATTAGCTCTAATATGCGATGAAGGAATTTTTTTATTCAATTGTAATATAAGAAAGGCCGTTTGTTTAAAATAAGTACATAATTCATTTAAATGCATTTAACATTATTGCATTGTTAAAGTTGTCATAGCATCTACGATATTTTAACATTAACAAGCGAAGATCATGTATTAATACAACAGTCATTTTTGGTGATTTTTTTGGTATATATATTTGATATAAAACATGAAAAAAAAAACCACTGTTTTACAAATTTCTTTTCCATGCCATGAAATATTTTATTTCCAAATTTATCTATAAATGCATAGCGTAATGATACAATAGGAGAATTGCATTTCATAAAAAATAACGCTTAAATAAAGAAAAATGCAAAAAAAAAAAAAAAAATCTAACTATATATATAAATAATGTAATGTTCATTTAGTTATTTTATAAATGAAAAGGGAATTTCTATTTCAAAGTTTCTTTCGTAAAGCGAATTATTTATTATTACTTGAATTATCAACGTTATTTGAAAATTTTCTTTTTAAAAAAATGTATCAACTTCAAAAATCAATTAAAATCACGGAAATTACCACAGCAATTACTCATTCTTTTATATTTTCTCCGATGCGAACCTTAGTAACATCTGGTAGTAATAGTAATAGTAATGGTCGTTATGGAAATAAAAATATTAATTTTATTAGAAATTTTTTTTCACTTATTAACAAGAATAATAATAAAACCATTAATAAATTGAAATATAAACCAATGACTGCCATAAATTTTAATTTTAGAAATAGAAATAATATGTGTATTCAACCCAGAAGATATTATAACGAAGATACAAATGCTGCTAGTGTTTTCGATCCTTTTCCAAGTACATTCTCATTTAATTCATTTAGTAAATGCTTTTGGGTCATAATCACGTGAACACCTTTTTCTAATTATTATCTCTCTATTATTATTATAAGTTCCTGGTAATCCATTAGTGAATAAATCCGCAGAAACTGCTTTAGATGAAGAAAACGACAAAGGTCAAAAACAAAGACGAAGACGAATTAGACGATTATCTCAGAAATCTAATAATAAAAGTCAATCTTCAAAAAAAAGTTCAAACTCAAGAATTTCATTATATGATATATTTTCACCACGTGTTAGAGATGCAGTTTTAACGACAGTAATGGGTCTTGCAGCCGTAGGTTTAGGTGGTGTTTTATATCAGTATTGGTAAGTAAAATAAAAAATATTATCATTATTATTTACATAAATTTTTCGTATAACTGACTGATAATGTAATAATTTAAAAATAAATAAATAAATTTTTTATAGGTATGAATGGCATGAAGTTCATAAAGTTTTGAAAGCTTTTACAAAATCTACCTCAGTTCTAAAATCCAAAATTAAAGAAGGTTACTTTGCACGTGATGAATATGATAAAATATTTTCAGCAATTGGAGGAGAAGCTAGTGGAAAATATTATTTATTAGTAGGAGAGAATGGTACTGGAAAAACTCAATTAGTATTTAAAGCAATGGAAAATGCTGGTCAAAATGGTGTAGTATTTTGTGAAGCTCATTCTAATGCTGAAATATTTAAAACGAGATTGGGGAAAGCATTAAATTACACATTTAGAGAAGATTACGTTGGTGGATTGTTTGCTAGGGAAGCACCAGAACGAGGTAAAATAAAAAAAAAAATCATCAAATCTTACTCTTAATTTAAACATAAATTAATCTACATATACTTAATTTTAGGTTCAGCATTACTTGATGTAGAAAGAGCACTTAATATAATAGAAGAAGTAGCATATATTTATAAACGTCGTCATAAACGTCCTTTAGTATTAATAATTAATAATGTACATTCATTCAAAGATGATGAAGATGGATCAGATTTATTAGAATTATTACAACAACGTGCAGAATATTGGGCAACAGGAGGATTTGTTACAATGGTATTCAATACTGATGATTATTACGTTTATGAAAGGATGAGTAAGTTTTTTTTTGAATATTTTTTTTTATGATAATATTATCATAATAATTTTAATAATTTAATTCGTGTTTGTGTAGAGATGGATGCAAATAAAATGGAAGTCATAAGAGTTCATGATTTGGAACATTATGAAGCGGTTAGATTTTTAAAAGACAAAAGAGGTGGACATGAATCTGAAGAATTATTATATAATATTGTATCAAAGCGTATTGGAGGACGTGTTGCACATCTTAATTTGCTTGCTGAAGATCCAACTAAAGATATAAATGGTAACTTTTTACTCATTTATTACATTTATTGTCTTCTTCTTATCATCTTCTTCTTATCATTATCTTATTATTATCTTATCATTATCTTATTATTATCTTATTATTATCTTATTACTATCATTGATTATTTAGAAATAGCATCTCAAATTGAAGACACAGAAAGAACGTGGTTAACTAACAAAGTTGGATTAATTCCAAATTTCGAAGGTTCAGAAGAATTTGAATCACAAAAATATGCAGTAGCTGCTTGGAAATTATTTCGAGCAATAGTTAAATCACCCACAAAATCACTTTCATTAACTCAAGGAAGGAATATAATTGGTAATCCACGTTATCTGCAACAACTTGATCATGATGGAATTATTATGGTTGATACTGAAAATAATGTTAAACCTGATTCACAAATTAGTTGTAATTATTTTGAAGATATTGTGAATAGTAAAAATTTTGAAAAAATTTTAAATCAAGTAGAAAAAAGATTGGATGAAGTTGAAAAAGAAGAAAGGACAAGAGAAATAATTTGGAGTAATAAGAATAAAAGAAGAGGATGGTGGAGAAACTTCTCACTGTAAGAATAAATAATTTCTTAAATTATTTAATTCCTTTAATAACTTTCAATCTGTTGTTCATTAACTTTAATTCTTGAATTCCATTCATCACTATTTATTAAACTATCTATAATTTGTTTACCTCTATGACCAAAAATTGGATGTGTTTCCAATGATTTTTTTTCAGCTAATTCTATGGCAATTTGTTGTGGTGTGCTTTCACTTGTCTCGGCTTTGGAAAGAACAAATTTAGTTAAATTATAGAGTGAATACTACCAATATTTAATAACAAAAAATTAAAGATAAATTTAATATTTAATTTAATAAGAAATAAAATAGAGCAAAGATAACATAATAAAAAAAATCAAATAACAAAGTATGAACCAACCATCCAAGACCTACTGAAATGTTTCTCAAATAATGGATCATTTTTTATATGTCCTACTGATTCATCCGCACAATTGACAATACCTGAAAAAAAAAAATTAATAATAAAATTTAGGGAATGTTGTTTTTTTGTTGTTTGCATGATGTTACATCAATGTATTTTTACCCATTCTATTAGCCAGAAAATCTGTTATAATAATAATAAACGTAATAATAAAAATAGAAAATTATCAATATAATAAAAACACTTTACTAGATAAAAATTTATAAATTTATTATTAATAAAAATAATTAAAATATTTTAATACCAGGAACATAATGAATCTTTCTTTCAGCAAGAAGTTTATCGTCTCTTTTTATATCTGAAATTAGATTAAAAAATATAAACATAATTTTGACATCATACTTTTCATATTGTTACAATTATTGTTATCTTTACTTTTTCCTACCACTTAATTGATTATTCGCGGCTCCACATATAATCTTAGTTTTTATCTTTGGAATAGTCATAGGATTAAGTATTCCACCAGTAGCGCAAGGCACTATTGCATCCACATCTAAAGAAATTTTATAATTAATATTAAGTTAAGTTTTTAATGTTTACTTTATTTCCCTCTCAAATAAATATAAATAAATGTAAATAATTATATAAATATATAAATATATAAATATAAACATAATTCACCTTCAAACAAAATAGAATGATCATTTCTTTCAGTATATCTAAAAGTAATTCTGCCCTCTTTAAATTCTTTATCAAATCTTTTTTCAGCAGCATTAATTTTTGCCATATCTATATCATTAACCAATATATGTTTTGCTTTTTTCTGTAATAAGTGATAAATAATGAAGGTAGCAACGTGTCCTGCGCCCTTAATAATATAATGTAATATAATATTAATAGAAAAATATTGAATAATAGAATTACAGAATAATAAATAAAAATAAATAAATAACTAAATAAATAAATATTTATTTATACCTGAACAGCAAAAGTACCATCTTCCAGAGAATCTCTACCAGTATAAGAAAATGCAGCTTCAAGAGCACAAACTACACCTCGTGCCTAAATTAAAAAGAATATATAGAGAGAAAAGAATATATAGAGAGAAGAGAATGTAGAGAGAGAAGAGAATATAGAGAGAGAAGAGGATATAGAGAAAATAATAATAAATAATAATAAATATCTTTAATATTCTCATAAAAATTTAATGACTACCGTTGGAGCACTGGGATTACCACTACCACCATATTCAGGTGGAATACATGTTATGAATCGTGTCTTCTTAAAAACTGATGCCATGTCGTCCTCTATAAAATTATTGTTTCTCAGTAATCTATTATAAAATATACAAATAATAACACAATAATAATATTTAACTTGAGAAAGACCTGTAGTGCCTAGATCCTCGGCTGCAACATAAGCACCTTTAAGAGAACTATTTTATAATATTAAATCTTTAAATATTTTTTCCACCAAAAAAAAAAACGAATTAAATGAATTTTTTGTACCTCAAAAATCTACCATATTCTTCAAATACTGTTCTACGTTGTTGAATAGTTGATCCTTCTTCACTAAATAAATTAAGTTAATGAATGAATAATATATATAATATATTTAAAGATTATAAAATTATAAAAAGTGATAATGAGAAAAAGTATTTTAACTCACACCCCAACTCCTGTATTTCTGGCAATTACACCTTTTCCTCCTCCCCACCTAAAAAATATTAAAATTATTAATTCAATAATAATAATAATAATAATTAAAATATTTATTATTGATTTTTTTCACTACCATAAATCAGCCAAAGAATTTTTATGTGTCATTCCTTTGGATAATCTAATTCCATCGCGAAACCAATCCTCAATAGTTTCATAACTCCAATTCCTTACTCCTCCTGCTCCTGCTCCTCGACAAGTTTTATGTATAAATGCTCCCTATAATAATATAATTATAATAATATAATTATAATAATGTAATAAGTATAAAAATAATGTAATAATATAATAATATAATTATAATAATGTAATAAGTATAAAAATAATGTAATAATATAATAATAATTAATGTGAAAATAACCTGCAAAACTCCAGAAGTAGGACCAATCTTTAATAATAATAATTGTTATAATAATAATAAATGATGTTGCAGAAAGAAAAAATAATTATAATTAAGAAAATACACGAAACAAAAAAAAACAATTTACATGGCCAAAAATTCCCTCATGTTCATCAAAGTCCGTTTTTTCTTCAGCAAAAAAACTATTAAAAAAATTTTAATTTTAAATCCTAAATATAACCAAAAAAAAAAAATGATTGAAAACTTACTCTCCAATGGATTGTAAAATAGGATGTGAAGTTATTGTTTTACCAGTTTTAGGATTATATACTGCATGAAAAGTATTAATTCCATAGGAACTCAACAAAAGAGTAAAACTAAAAAAAATAAAAAAAATAAAATAAAAAAAATTTAATTCAAATATTAAATTATCAATAAATATCATAAATAATTATAATAAACCTTCTTGGATTAAGAGAAAGTATAGAAGGCTTGATTAATGACATCATAAAATTCCCAATTAATAATTAGCAAATTTAGCAAGTTTAGCAAGTCTAGCAAGTTTTACAAGTTTTAAGACAAGATTTTTTGTATTTTTTTTTATTTTTGTTTGGTTTTTTGATTCGCGCGTCGTACAGAAAATCAATACTCTTCGTTCCAATTCATTACCAATGCTTAGCAAACCTCAAACCGATATTAATGACTTATTACTTGTAAAAGCAACTCCTGAACAATCCAAGATGTACCTATTGTAAATTTAATTTTTATCTAACGGTTTACTTAAATGCACTCTATATTTATTATTTTTTTTTATTTTATTATTATTTCAGCACCAAACAAATTTCTTATATTGAAGGGGATCCTTCAGAATTAACTTTAGAACAATATCTTGAACTAGAAAAAATTCTGACAAATTTAGAATTCACAAGAGATAACTTTCAAGTTTGGATTTTGATATCAAAAAAAGATCAACATCAAGAGGCTCCAACAATTCTTTCCACATGTGGAACAATCAAAAGAAAAGCTTTAGTTAAAGATACTACTACAGATAAATCAGATAAATTGAGAGGGGTTGGTGAAGGAGGAAGAGGAAATGTTAGAGAGATAATTTGTCATAGTATTGCATCAGTATTTACACCACTAAATTTTAGGAATAACGGCTATGCATCTTCTATGTTAAAATTGTTATCTGACATTTTGGTGAAAGAATTGAAAGCAGAATTTTCATTTCTTTTTAGTGATATTGGACCTCATTTTTATCAAAGATTAGGTTGGAATGTTGATGATCATAAAGAAATTAGATTTAATGTAGATAATAATACACATATTTCAGATAGTGCGAATAATTTAGATAATAATATTATAGTAGAAGATACCAAAAAAATTATTAGTCAAGACGATCTGGAACGTATAATTCAACAAGATTGTCAACTTATTTATCAAGAATTTTCTCAATTAGATTTTTCGGCTTTTTTGGTTTTACCAACTAAACCAAATTTCGAATGGCATTTTGAGAGAAGTAAAATTTACGCAAAAATTAAAAATGTTGAAATAACTACTTTGGGTGTTGAATTAATTGGAAGATCTATCAATAATAATAAAAATAATCATTCATTGGGCTTTATTCTTTGGTTCCATGACTTTAGAGACCAAAAATTAACAATACTTAGATTTCGTAGTAATAATCAAAAAGTCACAAAGTTATTAATTGAACATGCAAAACGAGAAGCTCAGAGATCTAATTTAACACAAGTTGTTGTATGGAACCCTGATATGAAATTATTTCCAAATGTAAAAGAAGGAAATAATAAAAATGACGATAATGGAGAATTAGTAGAAAGAAAAGATTCTTTACCTTTTTTAGCTTGCCATTATAAAGAACCATCTCATTTTTCTCATTTCAAATGGTTATTGCTAGAAAAATATACCATATTCTGCAGGCCATAGACCGCCGAGTCTTTAATACCGGGTATATTTCATCGAAAAAAAAAGGGGGATACTGTTAGTGGGGAGAGTACAAGATTTATAAAATACACCCATGTATAATACTACTTTAACGAATATATTATGTAAAATAATTAGTATATATATATATATATAATTTAATAAACAAATACAATATTATATCCCAAAATTTCAGAAAGCCGTAAATTACGGTACTTGGTGTTGATTTTTATTATAAAAAATCATTTCTTAAACACAATTCAAAAAAATATTTTGTTCATTCATTCAATAAATTTTATAGCAAATGTGAAGGCATGAAGAAAAACGAAATAAAAAATTGAAAATAATTTTATTAACTGCCAGATTCTTTCTTATAATATTATTTAAATTAAAATATTATAATTTTGTTAAAATCTAAATATTTAAATAAATTCACATATTTAGATATAAATGCCGCGTGTATGGTAACAGTCTATAACCAAAAAATTTAACAAGGTCGACTTTAAAAGATTAAGGCATATGATATCGACTTAAAAGGCTTAAATTGGTTTGGTTAAGGGGTAGATTTACATCTCAGATTGGATGTTTGTATTTCATATATAAAATATATAATTCATTATCCCTTAAACGGCAAATCATGTGAATTGCGGGCAAATTTGCCCGCATTTGTTAGTAACTTGTGACGTCACTACCGTTTAAGGGATGCTACAGAAATGAAGCACATTAGTAGAAAATCGTAAAATTCCCTGATGCTATTGGTTAATGATCACGTGTAGGCCGTTCAAAATTGGAAAATATAAATAATATTTTTTTAATTATAATCATTATTGTATTGTCTTTTAAATTCTCTTCTAATATCGAACTAAGATTAGATCGTACTACATCATATATTATCAAAATTCAAAACTATACTATTTCTTCTTCGGTTATTGAACTGATTCTAAGTAAACAAGAGTAGGTATTTTTAAAACTGTGCAGATCAAACCAAATATTAACGATTTAATTTTTTAACGTAAAAATTTTTTGATGCAAACAAATAATGAGATGATCTCTCAAGTAAAAAACGTGGATTATTGAATTTATGTTTTACTTTGAAATATATTATCAATTTGTTCCTAATTGGTTTGAGGAATTGGCAATGAATCAGTTAGGAATAAAACTTTATGTAATTTACAGAACACTTATATAAAAAATAATAATAAATATATTTTTAGATTATTAGAAAGGTTGAAGGTTTGCTTATTAACAACATAGTAGTTTTAACTGTTGTAATAACTTTCGTTATTTCTTTATTACTGTATTACAGGCTTAAAGAAAATACTAATTTTTTATTTATTGTAAAAAATAATAAATGTAATTATCACGTGTAAATGATCATTGATACTGCCGTGCCGTCGAAATTCAAAAAAGGAATTTACAACAATAAATGTTAAAATTTCCTTTTTTTTTGAATTTCGTCTTGGCATGTGTAGTCATCGTGCTTCTGAAGAATCTAGAAAAATATTTTACCACCTTCAATGCTTGAAAATTTCCTTTTTTAATCAATGGACCGCCAAGCTTTCTCAAATAATTTTTTTTTATTGATGAAAATTCTTTTGAATAAAATTTTTTCTTTTACATTTATTTATTTAAAATGTAATAGTAATTTCCTTAAAAGAATTACTATGCATAAAACAAAACAATTCTAAAACATTCGATATTAAGAACAAATATAAACAAAGTCTTTTATTTTATTTTTTTAATTAATGAATAAGTATACTTTTTTTCTTAATGAATAAAGTTTGATAATCACTATTCAAAAACTGATTTAGAGAAATTAAACGCACAAAAATTTGCTATGTACCAATAGATTTAAATTTTGAGTAGTGCCCCTTAATTTGTTTTGGGTGAAACAATTGGCTATTTATTGTTTATTAAATTAATGTTGCAATTGTTTTTGGAATTTTCTTTTGATTCTTATTTCGTTTGTTTCTTTTATTTACCTTAATAGTTGAGCTATGCTATGGAAAATATCAAACTTTCATCATTATTCTTCGGAATGTTTCTTTTATTGATAATTGTACGCATAAAGATAAAGATGATGATTTGACAATTTGAATTAGGCAAATCTGAATAAGTCGCTTGTGGTACACACGCCTTAGTGATGCCATGATGCACGATGTTACAAATGCAGTAAATAAAATAGAATGATAGGAATATATTTTTATATAAGAATCATCAAATTTCAGCTTAAATTTTTTTTTAAAAAAAAATACCAATATCTTGAATAAAAAACTAATTTTTTTTTTAAAAAAAAAAGTAAAAATTATTGGAAATTATGGAAAAAATGGAAATTATGGAAAAAATGTCGGCTATACTTTCAGCACCTTGGCAAGAGCGCATCCACCAATTCTTTGACGCTCCAAAACCTGAATATTTACTTTCTACATTGTATTCAGTCTATTTTCCTACCGGCAATGTAAACATCTTCGATCAACTACCTGAACTCTGCAAGGATTTCGTTAAACCTGGTGTAATCTCCAAAGAACTTAAAAACAACGTCAACGTACTCAATAAAATCAAGCAAAATTTAAAGGATTATCTTGATGGCGATATAAACAAACGCGAAAGTAATATGAATAATTTGGCAGAGTTATGTAAAAAATTTCAGTCCAATATTCTAAAAAGTAGAGATAGTGTACAATTGTTGGGAGTTTTGATTACCTTTTCATTTTTACATCTTTCGGTGTTGTCAGAGAAAGATACTAATCAAACGGTAAGAATATATCAAATATATTATTAACTCTATTATGCTTTATTAGTTATGAATTAAATTAAATTTTTTATTTTTCACTTATAGGCAATATACGGAGGATGGGCTAACTCTCATGGAAAAGAACTTGCCGACAAAATATCCGAATATAAAATTTACTTTATAGAAACTTATCCAATCTGGCAAGACTGGAGAAAGGATCAAATTACTATAAAACCTGAACCCAGAAAAAAAGATTCTGGTGTAGTATTAGATACCATTACCAAACGATCCGTTAAAGTATTACCCACTCACCATACTCATCATACTCCAGTGAATGTAAATTCCGATAAATTTCAAAACGTTTGTTTAAAAGTTAAAAATAGAATTTATAATGAAATCAATGTAGAATTTATGAAATTATATATGCATACATTTGCATTAAACAAATTCGAACCTGGAAAATGGTATGAACCTCCCATTGCTCCAAATTCAAAAGTAGCCACTGTTTGGTTTGGTACCTACGGAAAAGATACATTTTCCAAAAGAAAGGATGAAATTAGATATAGTGAAGAAAAATATGAACTTACAAATGAAATTGGAGTAATTACAGGTGTAAATATTATCGAATTCGATACTATTCACGCACTTACGTTTTTATTTAAAGATCAAGATCCAAATAATAGAAAAATAGTAGGAAATAGAAATCATGGTCATTTAACTACCATCCGAGGTCTTAACGAAAAACGTTATCATATAACTGCAGTAGATTTATACTTTAATCATTCTGTAATTTGTGCAATACAATTCTTTTGTTCGGGTGGTATAAAAACAGAAATACTTGGTAATAGAAATAGAGAGGCGCATACAGTAAAAATTAGTTGTCGACCTGGAAGAAATGAAAATTTTAAATTGACAGGAGTTAGAATGGCGAGTTCTTTAACTGATCCACAAAAAAATAATGAATCAGTAGGGTATATAGAACTTGGTTTTGAATATGTTCGAGTGAAGGATGATTAAAGATTGAAATTTTTGTTAAATTCTTTTTTTTTTTTTTTAATTTTATACCATATATATACGTATATATACACATTGTGTGTTTGTAGAAATCAATTCATTTTGGCATTTATCATCGAATTTATTTGACCATTTTAAATATTTTAATTTAATTTATTTTTTTTAGTCTTATTTAAATTTCATTATTTTATTTATTTATATGTTATTTATTATAATAAAAAAAAATGACAGTACAATCATCAATATAAGTTTAGTTCGGAAATTGAAAGCGAATAAATTAAATTTTCACGTGATTCGAGTCGACAAGATAGTAATTTTCGATCAATATATATAAGATTCGTAAACTTTATTTCTTTCCTTCCTCTAACTCATAAATTTTTGGAGTACCCTTTACAATCTCTGGACAAATACCTATAATTAAATGCGCATCTTTCATACTTTCTAGTTTCCTTTAATATAGTACTTTGTTTACTTGGTATAATAACAAGAATAAAAAAAGTATAAGTATATAAAGGATTTATATAATTATAAATATTGCAAATTTTTTGGAAATTAATAAAGTTTAGGGAGTGAAATACTAATTTTCATAGATGCAACAATAAAAAAAAAATAGAATCGGAGTTGATTATCCCATCTCGTTGAATTTCAAATAAGGACATTTAAATTTGCGAATGTAACCTTTGCATATATGAAAGATTTAGAGATAAAGAACACTATTATAAATAAATAAATGTGCTGTATAGTTAATTTGTTTTTAAAATATTAATAAATATTAAAATCTTTTACAAGCCTCTTGAATATTACCAAAGAGTTTTAACATAGAAGTTGATATCATTGAACATTTCTACCTTTCACCTTAATTAAATACAAGGGTTAAAATTCTTATATTTATTTAACTAATAAATTAATGATAAAAAAAATAAAATAATCTAATATTTATAAAAATTTCTTACTATATAAATTTCTGAAGTGCCCTTCACATCTACGTATAATTAAAATATACATCATGTGGACGATCATTAAATTTTCCACATGATCATTGTAATCTTCGTATATAAAATAATTAAATATAAATCCATTATATATTATCATCTAACTCGTTATCTGATATTTTAATCGATCTCATTTCCACTATGAATTGCTCTTCACGGCAATAACATTTGTCACTATCTATTTATTACAATTTTATAAGAAAACTTGAACTATTTTCCATATTAAAAATTAATATTGTAATATTATATTTAGATATATTAATGCCAATAAGATAATCATTAAATTTTTTAAATGTTAAAAATGATACGTATTACGATTTAAAAGAGAATTTAGGGATGGTATATTGTATAACAAAAATAATCAATTTTATTCATATCTTGTTAAAAAGATAAGAAACAAGATTGTAGATAGGCAAAAATAAAGAATTTGCAATTCCGGATTTCTGTTATACAAACCATTCATTATTTTATTTGCAACAAAAAAACCAGTTCTTCAGGTAAATATATCTTCGAAACAATGAATATCATCTTATTTTAGTAATACTACTGAAATAAATCAATTGCTGTTTTACCCCTTACTTCAAATGGAATAAATGAAATAAATGTGGTATGGAATTCAAAACACTAACCACATAATTGATTCTTTTTTATTGTTTTCCAAAATACTAACTATATTATTGATTCTTTTTATTGTTTTATATTTATTATTTATGTAAAATCTAACTATGTTAATTTCTTTTCTTTGTCGACTTTATGTATTTCTTATATATTGAGAATTAATAATATTATAATAATAAATGTTATATTTTACCAATAATAAGATATTTCTCAAAACAAAAAAGGCAAATTATATCTTTTGAATATCGCCCTCTTTAGAGATATCACAATATCCAAAAAGACAAAGATGCCTTTATGTTTTTTATAACTTTTTTTTTAAAACCACTCTACGTCACAACCAAATGATTTCATATACTTTTCCACACGCCTTTCTAACATGATTTCATTAAATCTATATAAATTTCTTACTGAAGTACCCTCTACAATCTATGGACGAATATATTTATAATTCATGTATAAGGTAAGGAATTTTTTCATACAGCAGTTTTACACTCAGAAATGGTTTTATTCAAAATTAATGAATTGAATTAGCATAAGAGGGATTTCACGTTACTATAAAAATAACTGACAGAGCCTTGGCTAATCAGTTTCTCAGGTTGACTGAGCAACGATAGGCTGAGCCGTAAATTATTGTGAGTTATAAAAAATAAATCAATTAGAAATTGAAAGTATATAATACAAAATAATTATTTCATTTTTCCTATTTCTTGGTCAATATTCTTTATAATATTGATAATACAGATATTGTAATTGTAAAATTACAAAAAAAAGGAAACATAATCTAACATTTCAATGATAATCTATATAATAATCTATTATTAAATGAAAATCTATTATAAAAATTATCTATTAATTAATAAAAAAAATAATAATAATAAAAAATAAAAAAAATAAGTAAAAAAATTAATTAAAAATTAAAAATTACTTTTCCAAATACAGTAAAATCCCCAAAATCCCCACCAAAAAGTTTGTACATTAAACCAAACAGCTACTGAACCAAAAATTCTTGCTATTCTAATTAATTCAGTACCTCTCCATAACCAATAAGTTAAACCAACTATCCACAAACTAGTTTTAATTTTTCTTTCACCTGTTATAATCATTAACCATAATAATACTAAATCAACTGAAAATAACATTTGTTCTTCTACTGCATATCTCCATGTATCAAATATTGGATACCATTTAGAATTAGATAAATATTGTATTCCATATAACCAAAATAATCCAGAACCATCTTTACCTTCATAAATTGTTGATGGAATCATGTTACCTTTGAACCAAGGGAATGTTATCGTATATAATAAATAAAAATAAAATGTATAAAAAAAGACAGGTTTTGAAGCAAGTAAAAAAGTTTTTCTAAAAAATGATTTTAAAAATGTTTTCATGGAAAAGTGATATGAAATAAGTAATAACGGATGATTTGGATGAAATGAAATATAAATTTTCGTGAGAAGAATATAGATCGTAAGGGATACATGATTAAATAAATATGTCCATCGGATCTAAGATGAAAAATAAATAAAAAAAAAGAAATTAGTTAAATAATATTTTATATATTTATATATTTATATATTTATATATTCTATACGGAAAATAAATGAAAATAAAAAATAAATAAAAAGTTATTCATTATTCTTACCACTGAAGCCCAATTCAATCCAATTAAGAATTCACTTATACCACCTCCCATATCACTTCTTTTACCATCTACACGAAATATTAATTCACTTTCACCTACATTTCCTAATATGTCACTCACTTTGACAGTAATTTTATGCTCTTTCCCGTCATCAAACTTTTCTGGATTCCATTTAGAAACCCAAAGCGGAATATATTCATTATTCTCATCATTTTTTGAATTACCTTTATAAACTACGTCTTCTTGATGTTTGATTTGATTAAAAAATATTTCAACTGAATTCACTTCATGATCAGCAAATATCAACATTCTAATATGTGTACTTTCTTTTATACGATCAACAGGTTCATGATATTTCATTAGAAAACGGGAATCTTTAGGATTTGTGATTAATATTGTTGGTGAGAAATTTAATTTATCAGGCAAAATTGAATTTCCTTCAGCAGGTAATGGTAATGAAGTTAATGGAATTTTGGGTAAAGGTAACATTAAATCAACAAAGCTTATTAAATCATGGTCAATAGCTATAATACGATAAATTGCATTAAGTTTCATATCTCCTATTTCCAATTCAAGGTAATGACTAGGTTGATATGTCTGTAAATGATCTCCTAAACCTATATATTAATAAAAATAATAATAAGAAAAAGATTATATTATAATTTATTTAATTAATCAAAAGTTCAGTTATAAAATATAAAATATACATAAATTTTTTTTTTTTTAAAAAAAAATTTTTCTACCCCACGCTAATTTATGTAAATGTCCACACATATAGACACTAATATGTTTTGCTATGTCGTCAAAGGTTTCTCCTTTTGATGTTTCACCAAATAATGTTGTCGCTGTAGGATAATGTGAAAGCTATTATTTAATAACAATATTTAATAATATTAATAATATTTATAATTAATTAATTAAATAGCAAACAATAACAACAACAACAACAACAACAACAACAATAATAATAATAATAATAATAATAAACGTGCCAAAAATGTGTGATTTAATTCTTTTGATTCATCAGACAACTGATTAGATAAACGATCCATATCTTCTGTTTCATAATATCCGAAAAAATTAAAAGGTCTAGCGGGACCTATTTTAGGACTGTCATCATGAAAGATTGAATTAGCAATTAATATAATATGATAAAGTAATTATTATAAAGCTATTATTACCAGGCATCTATTCCAAGGAATCTATAATTTCCAAACTCTTTTTCTATTATAAAATCAAATCCTTGTTGTTTTACGGCGCTAAATTTTTTAAATAGATTTTGTTCGCTTTCCCATGAAAGAACATTGAAGCAATCATGATTACCCCTTAAATCAAACCAATAATTTGGACGATCGAGAACACCAGATTCCTATAAACAAATTAAAAAATTAAATTAAAAAAATTAAATTAAATTAAAAATTAAAAATTAAAGATAATGTTAAACATTTTAAAATACCTTTAATGCCGTCTGATAGGATGTCCATTCTTCAATTAATTGTTGAGATGTAATGCCATCCACATCTTTTCCATCAGTTAAATCTCCGGTAACCAAAACAAATGATGGTGATACTACCGGAAGTATTGTCGCAAGAAAATGTAAAAAATGAGAAGTCCCACCAGTTTTATGAAATTTAGATATATGTAAATCGGATATCTAAAAGTTACAAAAAAAAAATTTTTTTAATAAAAACTTAAAATAAAAAAAAATAATATTTTTATAATTATTATTCGTCATTAAACGCATGCCTGAATAAAATAAAACACGTTATCAAGTTTATCATCAATAGTAAGATTATTAAATTTCGGAATGTTCAAATTATTCCCATTCTTCGACTTTGAACCATAAAATTTCAAGTCATCTTGTAAAGGTTTTATGAAATCACTTTCATATAAATTAGAGTTTGCTTCATTATATAAATTATAAGCTCTATACCAACTTATTAATGTTAAAGGAATAAGTAGAAGAGATATTAAAGTTCCAAATGAACTTCGCATCTTTTAAAGTTGCTATATGTAAAGGGGGGATAACTATAAAAATTATTTATGTTATATATATATATATAAAATGCAATTTTTAATTAGTCATGTGAATCGAATCAATACATTTTTGGAACAAGCAACGCAGCAAGGCAACAAGACTAAACTAAATTAATTAAGAGAGAAGGTTAAAAATGAAAATAAATTTTGATGTCTATTACAATTCAGCATTTTGTTGATTTTAAATACTGTACAAAGATTCTTCTAAGGCTTGGTTTTGTCAATTTTTTCAATATTTTTAAAGCAAAATACAAGAAATTCTCCTTTTTCAACAAGTTTTTTAAGTTTCTTTATTAAGAGAATTGTGGCAAATTTCTTTCAATAAATTCGGGTTCAAATTAATTTGGTCTTCTAACTGCATTAATTATCAGTTAGATTCTTTTTCCCACCAGTAAATTAACCTGAGGAAAATCTTTAACTTTTAATAACCAGTTTACTGGTTAGATTCTTTTTCCCACCAGTAAATTAACCTGAAAAAATCTTTAATTTTGTCATTATTTTTTTAATAACCAGTAAAAGATTTTAGAAAAAAAAACATTCAAAAATAGAAAAAAAATAAGTCCTGGCCAATTTGAATTAATTGTTAGCATTTTTTTTTTTGATGTTGAACAAGTGATATTTTTAAAAAATGGTGAATATTATAAAGATATTCTTGCCATAAGAGGAGGAAGATTTAATTTCTTTTATAACTTCAGAAATATCAAATTTTCAATAAATTAAATTTAAAAAAAGATCATTGACAACCTCCTGAGTTTTGACAACAGCAACTTAATCAACACTTGTTTTTATCAAATTAAAATTGCTATTACATTAAATTTGATAGATCTACTAAAAATGGCACCTGCAACTAATTTTATTAGTCCCTCAATATTGCAGATTTTAAATATAATTGTGAAATAAATTTCAATTCCATAATATTTAGAATCCCCATATTTTTCCTTCAACTAATTGAGAAATTTATCAATATAAATTTTAAAACAAATTAAAATATAAACTTTAGATAACAATATCTCAACTATGCATATTATCAAAATTATTGAATTGAATCAGATACAATAAAAATTGGAATTGAGTCGACGGGTTTTGAATTTAGATGACATGTATACCAGTAACCGTATTTGAGCAATTCTTATATAATTAAACTTATATTTTATTTTAATTATGGAATTTGAAATTACATCACAGGTCAAATACAAAAGAATTGCCGTACCGAAAGGAATTCCGATTTAGCTGATTTATAATATAGGATGCAATAGGACGGTCGATTTTTACCGATTTTTAGCTGATCTATAATATAGGAATTACCATTCGGTACAGCGATTCTTTTGTTCTTGACTAGTGTATCTAAATTTCACTATTTAGAACTATTCGAATCTACTTTAGAGTGAAAGGAAAACTCACTCTTTTAATAAGTATTATTTTTTGACTGTGTTCTTGTCAGTGTTTCTGGTGTTTCTGCCAGTGTTCCTGACATTAACTTTGACAATCTTTCTGACAATCATTTTGACAATCAGTTGGACGACACTGATTTTTTGACAAATACTATAAATACTATATGATAGATAATATAATAAAATATGATAAAAATATTATAGAGGAAATCACATGTAACAGCGTTCGACTTTAAACACGAGTATCGATGCTACAGGAATGAAAAACATCTCACCTTGTAGCAAGGAACAAGAGCTTTCAATCCGTCTTAGAAAAATATTAGTAGAAAATCGAGCGAAGTCAAAAAAATGGATTTTTTCAAAAATTGGCATAATTTTTCAAAAAATTTATGCCCCAAAAATTTTCCTGATGTAGCAAGGCTATGATATATAATTTTTGGTATGGATGTATAAAGGTTCGCTATGGAAACAAAGCTCGTCTTCTTTATACTAATACAGATTTAGTTATTATATTGATAGAAACAGAAGATATTTATAAAGACATGAAAGGAAGACCAGATATTTTTGATTTTGAGAACTCTGGAGATTTATTTCTAGTAAAAGATGAAACTAAGAGCGAACCAATAGGTAAGTCTGTATGTTTAAAGCCAAAAATGTATTCAATTCTCCCAGCAGGGCATGACCCAAAAACTCCTGAGACAGATACAGATTTTGAAAAAAGTTAGAAGAAGAAGAACTTAAAAAATATTGAGGCGAAAAGAATTGGCAGAAAAAACATAGCATTCAAAAAGCATAGGGTATTAAAAAAATCTGTAGTTGAGAGAGAGCTTCGCCATGACAAATTCCTAGAATGTCTTAAGACTCTAAAATTGATTTCCCCAAATAAGATACTAAATACATAAAAGTGAATTTAATATGGAAGAAGATTCAGAAAAAATCAAGTTATTGAGTGTTTTCTGTCAAAAAGTTACTGTGGATATAATGATAAACTTGATCTCGATTATGAAAATGTTATGACTGTAGAGAACAAACATTGAATATGATCGTTGTCCAAAACTGCAAACCAACATTTTCATCATGAACAAGTGGAAATCGTGATATTGATCAGTTAATTCAAGAAAATACAATTAAACCAAAAAAGGTTTTGATTGGATTGAGTAAATATTTATCAAAGAGAGGGTTTGGCAAGGTATACATAACTGTACGGAAAAATATACTGAACCTATTTATGGATCATAAATTAAGAAAATGATAGCAATGAAAAATTGAAATATTAATAAGGTGAATATTTCATTTTATAAGTTATTTTTAATTTATTTTAAATGCGGATTAAAGAATGTAAAGAGTATAGTCAATTTCATGTTACTGGCATCATAAAAATATGTGATATAACTCAAAAACCAATTACAAAAGAAATGCTTTAATTATGGAATATAAGAAATTTTAATTAAAATATGAAATATTTGTATATCGTGATAAAAGAGATTGGAAACGTTTTTTAGGCGAAAACGCCAATATATTGAGAAATTTGTTGTATGATGGTTTAATAGAGATATCAGAGCAGTTGAATATTCATTTTACGGAATATTTTAAGTTCTATATATTTAACTGACAGCATTTAGTGTCCGTTCACGTGATGACAAATTACTTTCAAGTAATAAAGATACTATGGAATGGTCTGGTCAAATAAATAACAATTTTTAATTATAGTTTGAACTTTAATTAATTAATAATTATGAATTAATTGATAACTTCTACACTTATTTCGATAACGAAGAGTAAAGAATAAGTGATTTTATTTGGAAGCTTCTTGTATGATGTTTTTGAAAGATGTTAACTTGGATCACTTTTATATCAACATATTAAGTTACAATTAATAGTTACTGGCACATAATTATTTGTATTGCTACAAGAAAATAAAGGAGACGTGATTAAATAATATTAATATTATTCACGCCGTTTGTAAATACGATAAATGAAATGTAAAAAGAGTCTCTGTAATATGCGAAAAAATCCAAAGAATATTATTTCCAATTCTAAAATTATTTAAAACCAATTATGGTTAATACATGAACATTGGCAGGATACCTTTTGCAAGAGAAAAAATTGCATTTTCTGCATGAATTTAGAGGACAAGTATCGCACAATAAAGATTCTTTATGACAAAAATGGGTTGAAACTTTGCAATTTGGACATTTTTCGCAAACACCTAGTAACTATAACAATAATAAATATAGAAATGCCTAAGGAATTTTAAATATCAGTATTTTTACTTATTTCAAGCTTTATCTTATGTTTAGTTTCCAAATATATTAAAGAATCTTCAAAAACTTTTAGCACATCTTTATAATATCTAATTCCGTCATTAATATTCAATGCTTTTCGCTCAATGAAAACCCTTGGATACACCAAAGAAACATTTAATTTTTTTAGGTTTGTTATGATGATAATTAATATGCGACACGCAGCGTGACAAGAGTCAAGTGGGATCATTTCATCCTAAAGGGGATCTTATCCTTATCCTGAGTTTCACCTATTTTTATAGATAATTTTTTTTACGTGCGGAAACCCATATTTGTCACCTACCGTTTGCGATATACAGGATAAAGATCCTCTATAAAGTCCTATGGACAATAAAACCCAGGCTAAATTATTTTTTCGTAAAATTTTAAATAAATTTCTGTGATGCTGAGATTTTATGCGAAATTTTGATTAAGAAAATTTCTTTCGATAAACTCTCGTTCTTCTGGATAAGTGAATTTAATGTGCTGCCAAAATGAAGAATATTTTGAAGAAACGCAAGACCTTTGCATAATGCCGATAGAACATATATCAAATGTATTCAAAATTTCTATTTTTGGTTGCAGACTTTCGTGTAACAAAAACCGTTATTTTTTTAAACGTTTCACTAATTACTAATTTGTTAAATAATCATGTCATGCATATTGCGGCATCGTGCATAATAACTGTTTAAAGTTAAATTAAGATTTCATTACATCATTTGTAAAAAATTAAATATATAATATTTATTAAATAATTATTCATAATTTATAATACAAATTACAAATGCAGATTTATTTGATTTCTACAATAGCAGCTCCACTGCCAGTTTTAGTTGCAAAAATTGCATCCTTCAATTGTCCATTTGTTAATAAAGGAAATCTACGTTTATAATAATTTTCAATGACATAACAAATAAATGTTTCCACTTGATCTTCATGGATTAAAGATACGGTACATCCTAAAATTAAAAATAAAATAAAAAAAAAATTAAAATAAAAATTTAATAAAAAAAAAATAAAAACAAAATATCAAAGGTTTGAATAATATTCTTAACTTACCGCCCCAACCTGCTCCTGTGAGTCGACTTCCAATTGCGCCACCTTCTAAACAAATTTTAACCAATTCATCAAGTTCTTTACAAGAACAATCAAATAATTCTTTACAACTTTTATGACTTTGATTCATTAATTCTCCTAAACTTTCAATTATTTCTTGATCATTTTTTCCATCCGCCTGACAAATCTCATAAAATTTTAGAACCCTTAAAGCTTCATCAAATACATGTTTCGATCTCTTGTATAAATGAAACCTTTCAGCTTGTACCGGGAATTTTGTTAAAAACTTTTCTTCAATTCCTTCTCTTGGAAGATTTAATAATACAGACAATTCATCTAAAGAATAGCCTTCTTGTTTCTTTAATTCGGTATAATGTTTATCCACGAAATTTGATAGATATTTAAGTTGGAAATCTTTGACTTCGGTAGTTTGAGAATACATGTCATAAACTTGCCTCAAATGTTCACACTCTTTGCCAAATAAAGTTTTACCCAAGTCATATGCAGCTAATTTTGTTTCGACTACACGTAAATTATAGTGAATTGGAGCAGTTATAACTTTATCGGATGTGATGAGGGAGTTTGCTATAACGAATGCTATTGGTGGTGTTATGCTAGGCAATTTTACAGGAATTGCAGTGAGTGTAGGCAAAAATTGAACGTAAAGTGCGTGTTCAATTTGAGAAAAGATTGAAGCTGTTTGATCCATTCTTTGAAATTAATCAGTAATTTATAATTCAAGTTGATTTCAGTAATAGAATAAATTAATTGTGTCAAGTATTTAACAATTGAGAATTTTTTGATATTAAATAATTTGACAAAGAAAATTTTTTCTTTACCCTCCAGTATTTAACCCTGCGTATCTCTCACATTCGATGGAAATCTCAGTAATTTGTTTTTTTGTAAAATTTACATTATTAGCTAAAGCTGTTGCTAGAGCTGCACAACATACAAATGCTGAAGAACTTGATAATCCAGATGCACTTGGTACAATTCCATCTACCAAGCAATACATTCCTTTAGGATTATCTATCCCAAGATGTTGAAGAATACCCTAAACGATATATTTAATAATTTATGATAGAAAATAAATGCTAAAAAAATATTATCAAAAGATCTAAAATATCTTATCAAAAATATCTAAATATCTAAAATATTTAAAATATTTGCAAATACCTTATAACCACATTTAAAATAATTGCTCCATTTAGATACATTAACTTCAACTATAATATCTACAATTTTATCTTTACCTTCGAAATCCCAACTATCGGGTTTATATTTTTCTCCATTAACATTTGCAATCCTAACTCTTTTATCATTTTCAGAAATTTCTACTGCAATTAAAATATCACGACCAATTGCCGTTGGTAAAACTCCAAACCCAGCATAATCAATGTGCTCACCAATTAAATTAACTCTTCCGGGAGCACGAGCAATGAATTTTGGTGAATGATTGGGATATATGGAATGAAATTTTTCAATAAGAGATTTGTAACGATCACTTTGAGCAGAAATATCAAGAGGAGGATATAATTGAGAAATTGATGAAAGTGGAATGGATGGGACATAATCCATAATATCTTTTATTTATTTATTTTTTTTTTTTTTAAAAAAAGAAAGAAAAAAGAGTAACAGTTTTTCGGCTAGTCTCACACTTTTAGGTAGCACGAATTCACACCTTTTTTGGTTATGACCCAGTATTTTCAAGAATGATGACAAAACAGATTTAAAATTGACTCAGAACAATAAAAAAAAATAATAAATAAATTTTTAAAAAAAGGTTCTATCCTGCAAGTGATTCAAAAAGAAAGAATATATCATTTTTATCACTTCAGCCAAACTTCTCCTGACTTATTTTTAAAATTGTAGATTTACGTATTATTTAGATTTTGTTGTACAAAATCTTAATTATTTATTTTTTATTTATTATAAATAGAAAAAAATAGAAAATTTGATATCTTACTAATAAAAGCAGTTACCATGCCGATCGCCATACTTAAATTGAGTAATTTTTTTTATCTTTGCTTTGGGTTGGTTAAAAATCCATTTCTCGAATGTCTTTGAAAAATGATTTTTTATCAAATTTTTTTTGCCCTGTTAAGTATAACATGTACTTTTACCGCATCAACGAAAGAAAAATATCAATTGGTCATATTTAAACCTACACTTATCATGTGTAATATAACCAATTTAAAGTACCCTTTTTCAATGGTATGTTTATTGTGAACGACAAAATTCTTGAATTCCATAATATTTCATTAATAAATTTTATTAAAATATTAATATTCTTAATTTCATTAAATATTAATTTCAGGAGATAAATTCTTTTTTATACTTTTGGCCTGAAGAATATTCTAAACTTAATAAAAGCGATAAATGGATTGCTTATATCAACGCTACTGGCTGTATAAATATTGAACAAAATATTTTATCAGCACAAAGTAATAACAGTAATGTAATAGTTTTATATTCTTACCCACAGAAGAAAGAACAATGTATACCTAGATCTGATGAATTTTTGTTACCAGTATTTGTCAATACTGATGAACGATGTAAAAATTTTAGCTCAAATTCAAATTCGAGTAATTTAAATACATTTATAAAGCATATTACTACTCAGAGTACTGGCGAATACAACAGTAATAACAGCAACAATGATAATGTGATTGAGACTTATCAAACTGCTATGATCGTTTTATATGTTATATCAGGAGCTGTATTAGGAATATTTATTATAATTGTTTTTACGAACCTTGTAAAGAGGAGACTTCAATCACGACAACCAATTCATCCTATAGGTGGTAATAATCAACAAAACCGAGGTATTACCAAGGCTGTATTAGATAGTTTTCCGGTTTACTCATTTTCATTGAAGAAAAATGTTAATGAAGATATAGAAAAAGGACACGATAAAGTTACTTATGAATTAGAGACATTAAAGACTGTTGATGATGAAAAAGGTAATTTAACAGTAGATGAAATTAATCAAGTCGAAAAAACACATGATATATCTATAGAAAATAAAGAAATTAAGGATAAGAATATTGCAACCACAGATGAAAATATTATGAATAATCTTTCTCAAAATGGTCAGAAAGTTATTTCTCAAAATTCACTCAACAATGACAATTTGACATTATTTAACAACAAAGTCACAGAAGTTCAATCTACTTGTCCAATTTGTTTGGGAGATTTTGAATCAGGAGAAGAAGTAAGAATATTGCCATGCGGCCATCAATATCACACGTGAGTGTCGTAATTTTGTAATTTGCATTTTTTTTTTTTTAATTTATAAATTAACAACGTTAATATTTTTTTTTTCGTGTCAATTTTTTTATTAAAGCGCGTGTATTGATACTTGGCTATTAGAAATTTCATCATTATGTCCGATGTGTAAAGCTGATTACACATCTTGGAATATTGATTTATCAAATTCTCTTCACGGAGATATTTCTGCTTCTACAGATTCTTCTGGAATGTTAAATGAACAATTAGATATTGTTGATTATAATAATAATAATGGTAATGGTAATGGTAATAATAGTAATGATAATAATAGTAGTAATAATTTGTCACTACAACATAGTTTTCCACATTTCCGATGGATTAAATATTTAACATCTATAAGGAGTAGGAGGCGCAGTCGACGTAGACGTACACGAATAAATGCTGGAGAAGGTTCTCAACAAAACAATGAAAATAATAATGAAAATAATAATGAAAATAATAATGAAAATAATAATGAAAATAATAATGAAAATAATAATGAAAATAATAATGAAAATAACAACGAAAATAACAGCGAAAATAACAATGAAAATAATAATAGTGAAAATAATAATAGTGGTGAAACGGGGAGATGTTTAATTTCAATTTTATAATCCATGTAAAAAATCTTTTTGTATAATTATAATATATATATATATGTACTATATATATATATTGTAAATTATTATTATTGCAAATAAAAAAATATTTTGAAGTTATAAAAATTTAAAGCAATATCTCTTGATAATTTTAATACATACATTCATATGTTTTATTATAAAATAATCTTTCACATCTCTATTAAGTTAATTATTGTTAAAGAAATTAATTATTGTTAAAGAAATTAATTATTGAATGATCAGGGCGTGATTTATTGTCATAATAATAAACATTTCATCATAATTTAATTTGCTTGTGAATAATAAAAAATGACATCTTTGTTATTTCATGTGAATATTTTTTCGTGGGAATATTTATCGTCACCATTGTGTAAATGATAATTAAAAATTTGTATAAATAAAATCTCGAAAAAATCAAAGGAAAATTAGGAAAATTAAAAATGGCTAAAGATATTATTGATGAGTGTATCGATGACCAAACAATTATCTTGAAACTCAAAGAACGTTTTGAAAATACGAACGACGAAAGAGAGCGTCAAAAGATCCACAATACGATCATTCGCGAAAGTATGTTGTTTTCATCCTTTTGTTCGTTTCACGCATTATTTCGCTCTTAATAATTATATAAATAATAAATATTTCCATCACAATTTTTTCTTTCCACCAGTGTCAATTCATTTTTATTGTAAAGAAGTAAATCTTTACCCATTGTTAGAGAAGCATCTTCCAGATGGAAAGTCCGTATGTGAGAAATGTCGCCAAACAAATAAAGAAATCAAAAAAGAACTTGCCAAATTAGATGGTATGAAAGTCTCGGATGATGGTTACATTACATTGTTTAATAAAATTATGGATGTATGTATTCCTTGAATAATCGTTTTTTTTTATTATATATTATGTATTAAATTATGTGGTTACTATCGTATTATAAATGCTATATTTTTAATAGTTATTTAAATGTCAAGTTGACGAGGCACAAGGAAAAGTTTTTCCAAGATTCAAAGAAGCGATTGCAGCTGATGTTATCAAAGAAGCTGGCGCAAAATATGCTTCCTCTCGTAGTTTGGCTCCCACACAGTATGTAACTTTATATATATATATATATATATTTGTCATGGTACATTTATTTTATTATTAAAAATTTTCTCAAATTTTCTTTTAATAGTCCTCACCCTGATGCACCTAATGAGGTAAAATGTCTTTATTATTTTTTTCTTCATTTATATTTTTACTATTATTAATATATTAATCTCTTTATTAATTTTATTTATTAAGCCATTGAAAGAAAAAGCGGGTAGGTAGCAAAAAAATTTTATGGTAATAATTCATTCATACGTAAGTATGCTAATTATTATTATTTTTTTTTTATTTATTAATCCCAATTCAGCGGCAGTTGCAACAGCTCCAGTTGACAAGGCTCGCGACATTCCTCGTGAATTTGTTGATACTGGTCGTTAAATTCGTGTTAATACAAATACAATCATTTTGTTATGATATAATAATAACATATTAAATATATTATAACTTTTTGGCGCGTGGAATAAAGTTTCACATGATTAGTCAAATAATAAATTTTGAATTGAATTATTCTTAAATTCATTGACTTTCTTTTTTAGTCAGATGATGCCCATATTACCAAAAAAAAAAGATGAATTTATATCTGTACCTGTATTACCAAAAAAAGATGCTTGTGAAACTATATAAACTTATATCGATATATATTTTATCTTATCTATCTTAACCAAAGCAATACCTGATTTACAATAAAAAGACTGAAATACAGAAGGAAGAAATAAAACGATACAAAAGGAAAAATAAACGATACGAAAGGATATAAAGGATACAAAGTAACACTGACACAAATTATTTTACAAATGGCAAACCTTTCAAAACCTAAGTATGTTACAAATCCTTTAGCCATCGCTGGTAATTTTCAACCGAATCCAACTTTAAACCGACTTGTAAAATTTCTAAACTCGGTATCCGGAACTGATAAAGTTTTAATGGTAAAAGCAATTTCAATTTTCAGAGTAATCTTTAATTTTTATTATTATTATTATTATTATTATTATTATTATTAAATTTTATTAAATTAATATCGAATATATTAAAATAATATTTATTAATTTTTTTTTTATTATTTGTTTATTGTTCAAGTAGTTTGTTCAATACTTTTCAAAAATTGTTATTTGGTCTCTATATCGTACGGGAAAAAAATCTTTGGCCGAAAGTTTTGCTAATTTAAGTTCTCCTATTGGAGATTTTAGAATTCTTCTTCGGTGAGTGGGAAAACTTTAATGGTGATAATTTGATAATAATGATTTTAAAATCTCCACCTGCCTTCCCCCTCCCCCCTTTAAAAAAAAAAATTAAAAAATTAAAAAATTAAAATAAAATTATTATTACTAAAGTAATATCGGGATCTTATCTGTTCTAGTAAGGAGAATAATTGTGAGATATTTTTTTCACTTTTTATTTCTTTACGATTTTAAACTAACAAATTATTTTTATTTATTATAATTATTTTCATCAATTACACGATATTAATTATTCACAATGACAATGAATTGATCTGATGAAATTGATACGATGATGATAAAGTTATTATGGTTTACTTCCTTTAATTCAATGGATGATTCACATTGAACATAATCCACCTCCAACATCATTACTTTTAAATATCGAACGAGTTCAAAATTTATCAATGATTATTTATTATCCACTTGAACATATTTATTGGCTCGCCTCTCATAAAATCATTAAATTATCTGAATCGAAAATTAATAAAATTGGAATTTGGAGTTGCCGATTTTGGGCGGCTTATGTTTTATTACAATTTTGGCATCTTGCCACGGAATGGAGTTTACTTAAAAGAAAACGGAGAGATATAATTAAAAAAGTTGATGAGGATGAAGAAGAAATTAGAAAACAAAAACGTGAATTGAAATCGGAGGGTGAAAGAATCTTTAGAGAAACGATTTCTAGTATCGGATATTTACCTTTAACGGTAAGTTACATAATTTATATTAAATAATATTAATTAATTATTCAATCAATAACTAATTAATAATAATTAATTAAAATAAATATTATTGGATCAAATAAATGATAGGTACATTGGTCAATTGAGAATTCAACGTTTCCAGAAATCGGAGTTGGTATATTTGGTACACTTGCTGCTTTCTTTCAATTAACTGGTGCATGGAAAGGTACTTCTTCATAAATAATAAATAAAAGGGAAGGGAAGGAAGTAAGGATGGAGAAAAGAAGGAAAGAAATATTTAAGATGATCAAAAGAAATATCAATGATGAGAGAGAAAAAAAAATACAATATATTTAGTAAGTAAATAATAATAATAATAATAGTAATAATAATAATAATAATAAATAGGATTATAATGAATATAGTATTATAATAAATATAGGATTCAGATATTATATATATTATAGGAGCAGAGAAGAAAAAAAGGTGATAGGTGTTTTTTTTTTTTTAATTTTAGATATTATCACAATATAATTCATATATACAAATATATATATATATATGGAATATTTTGGAAAATTGGTTTTATTATAAGGATGAGAGAAGGTTTTTTTTTTTGGATTTTTAATTTGTGAAATTATTATATAAATTAATAATAGCATTGGAGTTGAGAGAGACAAAGATTAGTAGTATTGTTTTTTTTAAATTGTATTTTTTCTAATTGTTATTAGGTTGACTAGTTATTCTTAGTGAACTAATAGTAGTACAAGGAATTTGAAATGAAATTATTATTGTATATTAGAAATTTAAATGAATATTTTTACAGTATATATTATTATTATTAGCAAAGATTAAAAAAATTTTTTGAATTTTGGTGCAAGAATATAAGTATTCCATACTATAAAAATGAAAAACCATTGTGAGTCTGGTGAAATAAATTTTTTTTTATTTTTTTTTTAAAAAAAATAAATTAATCAGAAAACAAAAATCTCAATGATCAAAAATCGGCCAAATCGGCCGTCCGATCTGCGAATCGCCTGAAAATCGGCTGTCTGATTTGCAAATCGGCCATCCGATTTTTTGGCGATTTTTGGACGATTTTTGATAATAAAAAAGATCATTTTTACTTTTTTTATTAGTAAAACATCAAAACTGTTATTAAGTAAATTATAGCTAAGAACTAAGAACTAAATACACCTACTAAAAAAAGTTTAGACCTAAATCTCACAAATTAAAGGAAAGGGACATTAAAATTTTGAATATCCGTTCATAATTTAAATGCCTAGCTTTCCTTTAATTTGTGAGCTTTAGGTCTAAAATTATTTAGTAGGTGTATTTAGTTCTTAGTTCTTAGCTATAATTTTACTTAGTAATGTTTTTGCGATTTAGTTATTAAATTAAAAACTTTTATATGTAGATACGATCGCCGATTTTATATATTTTATACTTTTATATATAAAATCGGCGCTTGTAGCTACATATAAAAGTTTTAAATTTTATAACTAAATCTCAAAATCGTTACTAAGTAAAATTATAGCTAAGAACTAAATACACCTACTAAATAAATTTTAGACCTAAAGCTCACAATTAAAGGAAAGCTAGGCATTTAAATTATGAACGGATATTCAAATTTAAATGTCCCTCTTTCCTTTAATTTATGAGATTTAGGTCTAAACTTTTTTAGTAGGTGTATTTAGTTCTCAGCTATAATTTTACTTAGTAACGTTTTTGATGTTTTAATAATAAAAAAAAAGTAAAAATTATCAATTTTTTTATTTTCATTATCAAAAAATCATCCAAAAAATCGGATGGCCGATTTGCAAATCAGACAGTCGATTTTCAGGCGATTCGCAGATCGGACGGCCGATTTTTTGGCGCGAATCGCCGCCGATTTATAAAGATAAATACTTTTTGAAATAACTTAATATTTGATAAATATTAATTGTCCGGAGCATAGCGGAGGACACTTAATGGACGAGCAAAGTGATACCTAAGTTACATATTTGATGCATCATTAGTTCTGTTATTGATGCAAATTTAAAGAAAAATATCAAAAATGTACTGTAATTCGCTGGCCAAAAGCCCCAGGTATCTTACATACCATCTTCCAAAAACTTAAGTTGTACCTGGGAGGATATTTTGTATAGGGATGGGTATTTTGCTCAGCATGGGTTTTTGTTTAGAGGGTACAAAATAAGGGGGTACAAATCATAGTTTCCTTATATAATATTTGTATACGTTATATGCGTCAAGATGCATTAAAATTTTTTTCAAATAAATTGTTTCCGAAATCAGAACCTTTTAAAACGAGCAAAAATTACAAATAAAAAAAAAGAGAAGTTGGAATGCAAGAGAAAAGTTGACAATAGTAACTATACATGCCCCCAAAATTAAAAAATCCAAAACCCGACCCCGATTAATTTAAAATGACCCCGAAATTGAATTCCGAAATTCAAAATTAACCCCGAAA